AACCAATGTGGTTTCCTTCAGCGCCTTCAGCCAGCACATTTGCTCATTCATTTCCACAGATTCCAACATGGTAGGGGATTTACAGAAATTTGGCTATTCATATTGTTATCTATTAAAAATATGAATGCATTTCCATATGATAAGACAAATACATGAGTTTATGATAAATTCGTTTTCTGTGATATAACATTGATATGCTCTTTTTTCTTTAAACCGCATACTAAACTAAATCACGATCGAGAGTATATATTGCTTTTTAAGAATTAAGTGCCACCACTGACTGCCAATTAAGTCAGAGTTGATGTATAAATGGTCAACGCTCAACAGAGTTAGTATAAATGGGGTTAAGTTAGAGTTGGAAAATGTTGTAGGTTGAGTACCTCAAGGCTCTGTCCTGGGACCTCTGTTGTTTATAATACTGTATATATAAATGATTTAGATTCAGGTTTGAGTAACAACATTTGCAAATTTGCCGATGATACAAAAATCGGTAGGGAAATAACACAGAAGAAGACTCACTATCTCTTCAAGTTGATCTAAATAGAGTTTTGAAATGGGCAAAAGGTTGACAGATGCAGTTCAATGCTGATAAATGTAAAGTTTTGAGGTTAGGTAATGATATGATAGAGTTACAAGATACGAGATAGATGGTGTTGTGATTGCGAAGTCGGGTATTTCGAAAGGGAACTTGGAGTTATGATTAGTAAGAATTTAAAACCAAAAGATCAGTGCATGAATGTTCGTAATAAGGCAAATAGTACACTAGGATTTATTAATCGAAGGGTTAATAACAAGACACCTGGTTTTGTTCTTCAGCTATATCTTGCTCTTTGACACTATTCATTCCCGTGCCGTTTCTCGGGTGGCTTAATTTTTATCAATCAATCAATTTGTTGCTCTAGTTAGGCCCCATTTTGATTATGCCGTTCAGTTTTGGTCGCCGTACTATAAAAGTGACATAAATTCACTTGAACGTATCCAGCATAGAATGACAAAGTTAATTCCCCAATTGCATTCACTGAAAAGGCGAAGAGTTAGGTGTGACATGATAGAGGTTTACAAGTTGATGAATGGACATAACAAATGGGATATTAAAAGTATCAGCACCAGACAAAATAATGGGTATAAATTGCATAAGTTTAGATTTAGGAAAGACCTGGGAAAATACTGGTTCGGTAACAGGGTTGTTGATTTTTGGAACAAATTACCGCCAAACGTGGTGGAGTCCAATGATTGTTTCAAACCTGGGTTCAACATGTATATGAGTGGGCTTGGGTGGTTATAAGAGTGGAAAAATGTTGTAAGCTGAGTGCCTCAAGCCTCTGGACTGGGACCTCTGTTTTTTATAATAAATATAAATATTTTAGATTAAGGTTTGAGTAGCAGCATTTGCAAATTTGCCGATGATACAAAAATCGAATATCAAAAAATATCAAAATATCAAAAATCGAAAATTCAATAAATGATCTGTCTCGGTCTTTAATGGACCAATCCTTTCCCTAACCTTTGTTCGATATAACTGAAAAAAAACCTTAGGATTTGCCTTTGCTTAACCAGCTATACCAACTTCAGAGTTTCTTTTTTTTCAACTTCATAGTGGTGGAGGAATTATTTTTCGAACTTCATAGTAGTGGAGGTGGGCTGCCTCGATTGTTTCAAGCGCGGGTTAGCCATGTATATTAGTAGAATTGGGTGGTTATAGATAGGAGCTGCCTGGTATGGGCCAATATGCCTTCTGCTATTCTGCCTTCTGCTTCTACCTTTGTTCTTATGTTTTTGCCCTGTAACCTAAATGGTTAGAGGCACATATATGGGCTTAGGGACTGAACCCCACAATACATTTAGCTAAGCTGGTTACAATCTTGATGATATAGTTACAAAATTCAGTATAAGTCGTCACATTATCAATGGGTTCAAGATCAACCACAATTACAGTTTCTATGCAGGCGATGAGTCACAATAACCTGGCTAAAGTATGTTGACCAGACCACACACTAGAAGGTGAAGGGATGACGAAGGGATGTCACTTAAGCGTCAAAACAAAAAGGTGTATACTCTTTTTACTCTCCTGATCTTAGTTCTCGAGCTACGTATTTCATTTTGGTACCAACGTGTTCGCAATAAAAGTCTCTAGAAGAACATTAGTAAAAAAAGTCACGAAAGGTATAGGGATACCAGCACCAAATAAATAACTACGTAGATGACTCGCCGTGAGCGCCCAATAGCAACAAAATGTTTTTACACTTGGGATTGTTATCACTTCCACACTTGTTCTACAGCGTTAATTTTGGTATCAATGGACTCGCAATAAAATTCCCAACACGGTGATATGAAAATAAATGTAGAATAATGGTCGCGGCCCACCCGCAAGTGTGGGAAGTGGCGGAACTGTTACCCAGTATCAGTGAGGCGTCGACACATGTGCGATACAGCGCTTTGAAAGTTTATAATTATTTCACTGTCCTGACATTATTATTCTATGTACGTCATTCATTTTTGTGCCAATGTGTTCGCAATAGAATGTTCTATGAGCCCGTAGGTAAAAAAGAGCAACAAAGCGTAAGATAGAATAGCACCGAATATAAAACGCTGGAACATATCAGTGAGCGTCAAACACACTCGAAATGTTTTTACTGTTGTTATATTTGTCAAGTTTATACTTGTTGCACACAGTTATTTTTGGTTGTACATTATTCGGAATAAAATTCCCTAAACAGACATATGCATATAATACATGATATGGGGGAAGCATTACCAGTATAAACGGCTAAAAGTCACCCAGCTGCAACCCGTTTGGGACACTCATGCAGACACACGCTACACCCAAAAAAAATCTATGAAGGTTCGAGTCTACTTACGGCAGTTTATGTGATACAGTGTTCATTCTGGTATTAAAATACTCGTTTCAGTTTGTAGTTCATGCGATTTTCAGAATCAACTGAATCGCTGGAGGTTCAACATTTGAGTCAGAGTCAGAGTCATCTGACAAAACCGTCTCGTCAAGTGGCAGTGTGTCAGACATCTCGGGTTCTGATTCGGTTGCTGCTTCAGCTTGAGGTGTTGAAGTGAACAAAGGCCGCCTCACACCAGATGGTCCAGGAGTTTGCATGGCGTCAGCATAGGCAGGACCTGTCATCATTTATGTCTGGAGCGTGCCGCAAGTGTTGAGATACTGTTGCTGTTTGAGGCCAATCTTCCGGGTCCCAGCACAATAGGGCCCAAATTGCCACCTCATGGAACTGTAGCAATGTTAGCTTTTTTTGATCAATTGTGTTGTATTTGTACAAAACAAAGGCATTATGCAATGCCATTTGCAGGAAATAAACGTTATCTTTTTGGTCCACTTGTGAGTTTTCCTGGTAAAATGGTAATACCATTTGATCGAAGTGGTACACACCTTTCATAAACTTATTGTACCATGCAGCCTAGTGGTGAGAAACAGAACCTCATGGCGCGCAGTTTGAAACAAACCCAAAGTAAATCGGATTAAAATTGAATTTTATACAAATATTTTTTTGAGGACATCATTTTATGTACACATTGCGGAAGCGGTTAGGCAAACAGGACTCCAGGTGATGTCCTGATCCGCATAATTAAAGTATAAATTTTGTTGAGAAAAAATAAGAAAAAAAATGGAAAAAGGGGGGGGGGTAAACATGGCAGAAAAAGAGTAAAAATACAATTTGGTCAACAAAACAGCATTGTTTAAAATAGAAGATATGGATTGACATTTTGGGGGTGAGGTAGGTTACATTGAGTTAATTAGGTAGTACTTAGTTTTTATCTTAAACTGGTTGGGAGAGGTACAGTCTTTAACATAATTGGGAAGGTCATTCCACATTCGAGGTCCCTTGATTTGTAAAGCATTTCTAGTTTGACTAAGTCGTACTCTTGGAATATCAAATAGGTATTTGTTTCTGGTGTGGTGCTCATGGGATCTGTTACAACCTTCTAGGAAGCTTTTAAGGTCAGGATTGACATTACAGTTCAGCGTTTTATATATATAAAATACACATGAGAGGATGTGCAGGGACTTAATATCTAACATATTCAGAGATTTGAGTAAGGGTACATATATACTGCCCGGTTGCCTGAAATGCTATGCCTACTATAGTGGCTTTAGGTATTGTATGCACTAGCTCTATCTATAAATCCAACATTATGTTTGTAAATCAACTATGTATGTACTTTCCTGAATAAAATTGACTTTACTGTACACTTATATTCTATGTGGTTTTGTTATCCCCTATCGTTTGTGAGAAAATAATGACTAATACGTTCGGCGAATGACTTTGACTTCGTTCATGGCATCATATTTCCCATACTATATATGGGTATGACAATGCATTTATATTATTGTGTATAAATAAGTTTGAAATTTCATGTACCCTAAAAATAGTAAAATAAAGAATAAGAATAATTAAATAATTGGTATTTAATATCAAATAGGTATTTACCTCATCCCTCCACCGTGTGAGGAGAGCCCCTACCTCATCCCTTGACAGCGTGAGCAGAGCCTCTTCCTCATCCCTCCGTAGTGTTAGGAGAGCTCCTACATCATCTCTCCACAGTGAGTGGAGAGCCACTAGCTCGTCCCTCCATAGTGTGAGGAGAGCCCCTACCTCATCCCTCCACAGTGTGAGGTGAACCCCTACCTCATCCCTCCTCAGCGTGAGTAGAGCCCCTACCTCATCTCTCCACAGTGTGAGGAGAGCCCCTACCTCATCCCTCCACAATGTGAGGAGAGCCCCTACCTCATCTCTCCACAGTGTGAGGAGAGCCCCTACCTCATCCCTCCACAATGTGAGGAGAGCCCCTACCTCATCTCTCCACAGTGTGAGGAGAGCCCCTCCCACATCCCTCCAAAGTGTTAGGAGAGCCCCTACCTCATCCCTCCACAATGTGAGGAGAGCCCCTACCTCATCCCTCCACAATGTGAGGAGAGCCCCTACTTTATCCCTCCTCAGGGTTAGGAGAGCACCTACCTCATCCCTTGACAGCGTGAGGAGAGCGCCTACCTGATCCCTCCACAGTGTGAGGAGAGCCCCTACCACATCCCTCCACAGTGTGAGGAGAGCCCCTACCTCTTCCCTCCACAGTGTGAAGAGAGCACCTACCTCTTCCCTCCACAGTGTGAAGAGAGCACCTACCTCTTCCCTCCACAGTGTGAAGAGAGCCCCTACCTCATCCCTCCACAGTGTGAAGAAAGCCCCTACCTCATCCCTCCACAGTGTGAAGAGAGCCCCTACCTCCTCCCTCCACAGTGTGAGATAAGCCACTACCTCGTCTCTCCACTGTGTGAAGAGAGCCCCTACCTCTTCCCTCGACAGTGTGAGGAAAGCACCTACCTCTTTCCTCCTCAGTGCGAGAAAAGCTCCTACCTCTTTCCTCCACAGTGTGAGGAAAGCCCCTACCTCATCCCTCCAAAGTGTGAAGAGAGCCCCTACCTCATCCCTCCACAGTGTGAAGAGAGCCCCTACCTCATCCCTCCACAGTGTGAAGAGAGCACCTACCTCTTCCCTCCACAGTGTGAAGAGAGCCCCTACCTCATCCCTCCACAGTGTGAAGAGAGCACCTACCTCATCCCTTGACAGTGTGAAGAGAGCCCCTACCTCATCCCTCCACAGTGTGATGTGAAGAAAGCCCCTACCTCATCCCTCCACAGTGTGAAGAGAGCCCCTACCTCCTCCCTCCACAGTGTGAAGAGAGCCCCTACCTCATCCCTCCACAGTGTGAAGAGAGCCCCTACCTCATCCCTCCACAGTGTGAAGAGAGCCCCTACCTCATCCCTCCACAGTGTGAAGAGAGCCCCTACCTCTTCCCTCCACAGTGTGAGGAGAGCCCCTACCTCATCCCTCCACAGTGTGAAGAGAGCCCCTACCTCATCCCTCCACAGTGTGAAGAGAGCCCCTACCTCATCCCTCCACAGTGTGAAGAGAGCACCTACCTCTTCCCTCCACAGTGTGAAGAGAGCCCCTACCTCATCCCTCCACAGTGTGAGGAGAGCCCCTACCTCATCCCTCCACAGTGTGAAGAGAGCCCCTACCTCATCCCTCCACAGTGTGAAGAGAACCCCTACCTCTTTCCTCCACAGTGTGAAGAGAGCCCCTACCTCATCCCTCCACAGTGTGAAGAAAGCCCCTACCTCATCCCTCCACAGTGTGAAGAGAGCACCTACCTCTTCCCTCCACAGTGTGAAGAGAGCCCCTACCTCATCCCTCCACAGTGTGAAGAAAGCCCCTACCTCATCCCTCCACAGTGTGAAGAGAGCCCCTACCTCCTCCCTCCACAGTGTGAAGAAAGCCCCTACCTCATCCCTCCACAGTGTGAAGAGAGCCCCTACCTCATCCCTCCACAGTGTGAAGAGAGCCCCTACCTCTTCCCTCCACAGTGTGAGAAAAGCTCCTACCTCTTTCCTCTGAGGAAAGCCCCTACCTCATCCCTCCAAAGTGTGAAGAGAGCCCCTACCTCATCCCTCCACAGTGTGAAGAGAGCCCCTACCTCATCCCTCCACAGTGTGAAGAGAGCACCTACCTCTTCCACCACAGTGTGAAGAGAGCCCCTACCTCATCCCTCCACAGTGTGAAGAGAGCACCTACCTCTTTCCTCCAGTGTGAAGAGAGCCCCTACCTCATCCCTCCACAGGGTGAAGAGAGCCCCTACCTCATCCATCCACAGTGTGAAGAGAGCCCTACCTCATCCCTCCACAGTGTGAAGAGAGCACGTACCTCTTCCCTCCACAGTGTGAAGAGAGCCCCTACCTCATCCCTCCACAGTGTGAAGAAAGCCCCTACCTCATCCCTCCACAGTGTGAAGAGAGCCCCTACCTCCTCCCTCCACAGTGTGAAGAGAGCCCCTACCTCATCCCTCCACAGTGTGAAGAGAGCACCTACCTCTTCCCTCCACAGTGTGAAGAGAGCCCCTACCTCATCCCTCCACAGTGTGAAGAGAGCACCTACCTCTTTCCTCCAGTGTGAAGAGAGCCCCTACCTCATCCCTCCACAGGGTGAAGAGAGCCCCTACCTCATCCATCCACAGTGTGAAGAGAGCCCTACCTCATCCCTCCACAGTGTGAAAAGAGCACCTACCTCTTCCCTCCACAGTGTGAAGAGAGCCCCTACCTCATCCCTCCACAGTGTGAAGAGAGCCCCTACCTCATCCCTCCACAGTGTGAAGAAAGCCCCTACCTCATCCCTCCACAGTGTGAAGAGAGCCCCTACCTCTTCCCTCCACAGTGTGAAGAGAGCCCCTACCTCATCCCTCCACAGTGTGAAGAGAGCCCCTACCTCATCCCTCCACAGTGTGAAGAGAGCACCTACCTCTTCCCTCCACAGTGTGAAGAGAGCCTCTACCTCATCCCTCCACAGTGTGAAGAGAGCACCTACCTCTTCCCTCCACAGTGTGAAGAGAGCCCCTACCTCATCCCTCCACAGTGTGAAGAGAGCCCCTACCTCATCCCTCCACAGTGTGAAGAGAGACCCTACCTCATCCCTCCACAGTGTGAAGAGAGCACCTACCTCATTGTAACAAACTAGGCTGTTTGTAAGAATTATCCAGAATGGTTTATCGACAAGGGAGAATGGGAAGCTGGACCCGCGTGGTGACCCGGGACCTGACCCCAGGGAATTCGCGGTGAAAATAATTGACGCCTTATCCATAGTTGCGTATAATGAATCATTCTATAGTATTCAGTAATTTAGAGAAAATAGTCTTTATTCAGGTTGCATTCAAATTGTATTATAGAGTATTATTAGTTATAATATCAAGAGTTAATTATTGAGTTAAGTCACCATCAGTGACGTCACGAATCAGATCTAAGTTGTAAGGCGGAGTGACCTGGCGGTCATAAGGTCATCAGAGTTGACATTTCCACTATTTCTCAAGGGTCAAATAGCCATTTGGTGATCGGGAACAGCTCTGCCGTTAGATGCTTGTGTAAGTTAACTTCAGTAAAATAATTCAACCAGTCTGGATCAATTAAGTACAACAGAGGTTAATTGTTATAACTTAAACCTTGCTAAGTAACTTGGTAAGCGATGCGGAACAATACAATGCTCTAGTCTGGGGAAGACCAGAGAGAGGACAGTAGTGTGGACTCGAGATCAACTGGGAGAGGTCAACCATCTTACCTCTCCCCCAAGACCAGCCCCAACATCTGAGCTGGTCGCCCAAGGTAGAGTTGCTTTATGAGTTCTTATAGGGATAGTCAATTCATTGCCGTTCAGGTCAAGTAGGGAGTGTTAACGTGACAGGGAGTGATAACCATTTATATTTTGTTTTAGTTTTTCTTTTAATAAATTAATAGCTAGTAAATTTGCATTTTCATTATTTCCATGTGTATGTTATATGTATATGAATTTGTCCTGGTCACGTGGTCCACACGAGGCAGAGTTGAATTGGGCGCCGATTCTAACATCGAATCGGAATTCATCATTCCCGTTTAATTAATTCCACACTTAAGATCTTAAAGGGTACCGGTTATAGGGGCATCAAGCCCCAAGGATGATTAATTAGCATGATAGATCCAGACCTCGATCATTGCTCTGTGTTACTGGTCTGGTGGTGGCGGCGGAGGCGACTCTAGGGTTTTGCTCAAAGCCTATGTCACGTCATACGGGTTGTAGAATCCTAAGTCGGTCAATCGTCTTAGGACCACGAGGCGTGGAGTCGGCTTTAGTAAAAGTTTTGGAGTCCCTTGTAGAGAATAAAAAGTAAGAATACGGGTAGAGGGGGAAAAAGATGGAAAGATAATTCGAGAACACCCCCCCCCCCTTGTTACATCATCCCTCCACAGTGTGAAGAGAGCACCTACCTCTTCCCTCCACAGTGTGAAGAGAGCACCTACCTCTTCCCTCCACAGTGTGAAGAGAGCACCTACCTCTTCCCTCCACAGTGTGAAGAGAGCCCCTACCTCATACGTCCACAGTGTGAAGAGAGCACCTACCTCTTCCCTCCACAGTGTGAAGAGAGCACCTACCTCTTCCCTCCACAGTGTGAACAGAACCCCTACATCATCCCTCCACAGTGTAAAGAGAGCACCAACCTCATCCCTCCACAGTGTGAAGAGAGCACCTACCTCATCCCTCCACAGTGTGAAGAGAGCACCTACCTCTTCCCTCCAGTGTGAAGAGAGCCCCTACCTCATCCCTCCACAGTGTGAAGAGAGCACCTACCTCATTCCTCCACAGTGTGAAGAGAGCCCCTACCTCATCCCTCCACAGTGTGAAGAGAGAACCTACCTCATCCCTCCACAGTGTGAAGAGAGCACCTACCTCATCCCTCCACAGTGTGAAGAGAGCACCTACCTCATCCCTCCACAGTGTGAAGAGAGCACCTACCTCATCCCTCCACAGTGTGAAGAGAGCCCCTACCTCTTCCCTCCACAGTGTGAAGAGAGCACCTACCTCATCCCTCCACAGTGTGAAGAGAGCACCTACCTCATCCCTCCACAGTGTGAAGAGAGCCCCCACCTCTTCCCTCCACAGTGTGAAGAGAGCACCTACCTCATCCCTCCACAGTGTGAAGAGAGCACCTACCTCATCCCTCCACAGTGTGAAGAGAGCCCCTACCTCTTCCCTCCACAGTGTGAAGAGAGCCCCTACCTCTTCCCTCCACAGTGTGAAGAGAGCACCTACCTCATCCCTCCACAGTGTGAAGAGAGCACCTACCTCATCCCTCCACAGTGTGAAGAGAGCCCCCACCTCTTCCCTCCACAGTGTGAAGAGAGCACCTACCTCATCCCTCCATAGTGTGAAGAGAGCCCCCACCTCTTCCCTCCACAGTGTGAAGAGAGCACCTACCTCATCCCTCCACAGTGTGAAGAGAGCCCCCACCTCTTCCCTCCACAGTGTGAAGAGAGCCCCTACCTCTTCCCTCGACAATGTGAAGAGAGCCCCTACCTCTTCCCTCCACAGTGTGAAGAGAGCCCCTACCTCATCCCTTCACAGTGTGAAGAGAGCCCCTACCTCATCCCTTCACAGTGTGAGAAGATACGTGTGATGGTGTTTTTGGTGGATACGTGTGACGGTGGTCCTGGTGGATACGTGTGACGGTGGTCTTGGTGGATATGTGTGACGGTGGTCTTGGTGGATACGTGTGACAGAGGTCCTGGTGGATACGTGTGACGGTGGTCTTGGTGGATATGTGTGACGGTGGTCCTGGTGGATATGTGTGACGGTGGGCTTGGTGGATATGTGTGACGGTGGTCCTGTTGGATATGTGTGACGGTGGGCTTGGTGGATATGTGTGACGGTGGTCCTGTTGGATATGTGTGACGGTGGGCTTGGTGGATATGCGTGACGGTGGTCCTGTTGGATATGTGTGACGGTGGTCCTGGTGGATATGTGTGACGGTGGTCCTGTTGGATATGTGTGACGGTGGTCTTGGTGGATATGTGTGACGGTGGGCTTGGTGGATATGTGTGACGGTGGGCTTGGTGGATATGTGTGACGGTGGTTCTGGTGGATACGTGTGACGGTGGTCTTGGTGGATACGTGTGACAGAGGTCCTGGTGGATACGTGTGACGGTGGTCTTGGTGGATATGTGTGACGGTGGTCCTGGTGGATACGTGTGACGGTGGTCCTGGTGGATACGTGTGACAGAGGTCCTGGTGGATACGTGTGACGGTGGTCCTGGTGGATACGTGTGACGGTGGTCCTGGTGGATACGTGTGACGGTGGTCCTGGTGGATACGTGTGACGGTGGTCCTGGTGGATACGTGTGGCGGTGGTCCTGGTGGATACGTGTGACAGAGGTCCTGGTGGATACGTGTGACGGTGGTCCTGGTAGATACGTGTGACGGTGGTCCTGGTGGATACGTGTGACGGTGGTCCTGGTAGATACGTGTGACGGTGGTCCTGGTGGATACGTGTGACGGTGGTCCTGGTGGATACGTGTGACGGTGGTCCTGGTGGATATGTGTGACGGTGGTCCTGGTGGATACGTGTGACGGTGGTCCTGGTGGATACGTGTGACGGTGGTCCTGGTGGACATGTGTGACGGTGGTCCTGGTGGATACGTGTGACGGTGGTCCTGGTGGATATGTGTGACGGTGGTCCTGGTGGATACGTGTGACGGTGGTCCTGGTGGATACGTGTGACGGTGGTCCTGGTGGATATGTGTGACGGTGGTCCTGGTGGATACGTGTGACGGTGGTCCTGGTAGATACGTGTGACGGTGGTCCTGGTGGATACGTGTGACGGTGGTCCTGGTGGATATGTGTGACGGTGGTCCTGGTGGATATGTGTGACGGTGGTCCTGGTGGATACGTGTGACGGTGGTCTTGGTGGATATGTGTGACGGTGGTCCTGGTGGATATGTGTGACGGTGGTCCTGGTGGATACGTGTGACGGTGGTCCTGGTGGATACGTGTGACGGTGGTCCTGGTGGATACGTGTGATGTTGTAAACACTGTTCATAGTCACCATTATTATTAATATATGTAATGTAACGTTGGTCATATTTTCTTTTCTTGTATTTTTATGTTTAATTGCCAAGTAATTTTCAAGTACCTTTGTTTATGTTTATTAATGTTTAAGATTAAAGTAAAGTGGTTTAATTGTTCGTCAGTTTATTGTTTAATCTTGCAATTTTCACTCTACAAAGTGCAGTCTAAGCAGCACTTTCTTTATTCGATGAGAGTGTGAGCCACATTACACCTGTCCAGTATAGCTGCGATGCTGCAACACGTCACGTTGATTTGGGTTGTTCCCAACAACCTTTGCTGAATGTTGCGTTTAGCTGTTTTACTTGGCTTTTATACTTGTTTGCGTTTCATAGCCTAATTTGAGATTTTCTTTTTGGTGACTAACTGTATTTAAATTACAGGTGTAGAAATTTGTGATTTGTTTATTAGATTGACTTTTGGTTACATGAGGTTTTATGAGCAAATTCATTCTCGTAATAGTTTGTCTTCTAAACGTTTGCTATATCTTATTTACCCCATATTAATTGTGTCCCTGCAGAAGTAGCTCATTCAGACAGATCACCTCGTCTGGTACTAATGGTACTAATACTTTGGTTTGTTATCTAACTATTACGTTCCACTTTGCAGTACGAACTTAGGAGGCAGTATGGGGCCAAAGTTCTTTTCTCATTCAGGTCTGTGTTGAACGTTCAGGATTCGTACAGCCGTTCTCGGCACAGTGTTGACATCCTCCGAACCCTTAAGCCTTCGTTCAAAGTCTGCGATTAACTGCTCACTCACGTAGGGAGTTAACTGTTCTTTTACAAAGCACAAGGCATGTTAACTCTCTAGTTAGTTTCCTGGATTCCAATAGGACACCTCTTGCCCTTTCCCTTATCAATAGTAGAGACCAGTGTATAGACATCCCTACACCTTTTTTATTTTTTACTACCTCAAAACAGTCGTTTATTTTGTTTCTCCAAGTCCTTACTAAGGTTCAAAACTTATTTTTATTTCAATTGACCATATATATTTCAGTAATTTATCTTGTAAATTTATTGTTGCTTTATAGGAAAGTTACGATCGTATAGTGTTGCCAGTTATATAAAACCATTTTCGTGCATGTTGCCACATCACATTTAGTCAACCTGGTAATCCTCACTAATTGTTTCGCCTACAGGGCACATCTTGAGGTGATTTCGGGGCTTAGCGTCCACGCGGTTCGGTCCTTGACCAGGCCTCCTTTTTGTTACACACCCCCAGGAAGCAGCCCGTAGCAGCTGTCTAACTCCCAGGTACCTATTTACTGCGAGGTGAGCAGGGACATCAGGGTGAAAGAATCTCTGCCCATTTGTTTCCGCCTACACCGGGAATCAAACCTGGAACCTCAGGACTACGAATCCCGAGCGCTGTCCACTCAGCTGTCAGGCATCTACATTTTTCTTCCATTATTTTATTATTTGCATTTGTATTTCCGTCATGTTTCGCTTAGCCGGTTTCCGTTCCAGCCCAGAGCAGGTAATTGCTACCTTAGTCCGTGCTACGAAAGCCGAACTACTCACATTAACCACAGAGTATCACCTCTCTCCTCCCCATGGGGTCACTAAAAGCGAACTGCATGACATGATTCTAGACTATTTAGCTGAAAATGGTCTTATCACTTCAGAATAACATAATGTCGCTGATAAATCTACACTCACCCTCATGAAGCTTAAGATCGAGTTAACCCGTTTAGAAGCCGAGAATGATGAACGAAAATGAGAAGACAGGACGCCACTGCAGAGCAACGTACACACGAGCAACGTAGAATCAAGCTCCGGGAGCAAGAAGCTGCTTTACAACGTCAACGAGGAGCAGAAAGACTCCAGAACTTAGCGTAAGAATTTCAACTATAGAGAGAATATGGAGAAAGTGAAGCTGCCATCGCACTGCGCTTAGAACAAGAGTAAGCTGCTTCCGCACTCGATTACCGTCGTCAGGAGTTGGAACTTGAAGCTACCCACATCTTTCAACGCCAAGAAGCAGACGCCAACTTACCGGTACGTTTAAATTCTTCTCATTGTGTCCAAATGATGCCACTTTTATTAGAGGCAAAGGTGGATTCATTTTTCACTTCATTTGAGGTTTTTACCAATCAACTCAACTGGCCTAGGAACCAATGGTCAGTACTTCTCATAGCTCATCTTACAGGAAGAACTGCCTTGACTCTCAGTACTCTTGCCACTGAGACTGATTAAGATATATTAAAACAAGCTACCCTTGATGCATGTCTACTATCCACAGAAAGTTATCGACGACGTTTCAGGGACAATGTCAAAAGTAGTGCTATTACCTACGTGGAATATGTGCACATTTAGACTAGGTATTTCATGTAGTGGTTGGAATCAGGCCAAATCACAACCTTTGTTGATTTAATTAAACATGTGTTATTGGGAGAATTTATACGACGTATACCTAACCCAATGCGCCTTCATCATGCAGATAAGGGAGAGACGAACCTCATTAAACGTGCACAGTTGACTGATACTTATAGTCTAATTCATAAATCTTTTTATTCAGATTCCAGTAAACCATCTTGAGCCAGGTATTCTCCAGCTAAAGTAAGTCATAAAGATGTTAACTATGCACTCTACTGTAGGCATTGTAAAACATAAGGACACACCATCGACAAATGTACCAGTCCCCATTGTAAAGCTACCACTGAATCACATGAGCCTAAACCTCAACCTCCTAAGTTTACTATGCCTGTGTTACATGTAAATGTTCCAGCTACTGATCTTTATTTAACAGACATGTGTATATAGGAACTGTCTCTGCCGACGGTAAAGATTCTGATGAAAGATTCAAGTGAGCATCTTGAGGTACCTTCGCTACAGAGTATTCTACTCAAAGCCGCTGCACCCATAGTCACCTACACTGGAGAAACCGTCCTGATCACCGACCTCACTGCAACCACACCTTTCCCGCTCGCCACTACGTGGAGTGTTCATTCATTAGTGGAGAAGTCCAAGTCGTTATTCTGGAGTAACCTTTCCCCTTGCTGGGAATTCAACTTCTCCTGGGCAACGACTTGGCTAACCAACAAGACTCCTGCAACCTAATCATCTATGTCAAACCCCAGGTATGTGACTCAGACACGGAAGAAGACCCTGCAATGACGTGTGCAGCAGAGGAAGAATTAACGGTGACAGAAGAACCAGCCGACATCTCACAGCCTTTTCAAGTGACTACCTGTGTTCAAGCCGCTCAGCCACCACCAGTAGCCACCGCTGTCCCTCGAGATGTGCGAGGCCTCCCACTGAATCTCAACCTGTTGAAGTTCCGTAAGTTGCAACAAGCTGACACGTCTTTAACTCCCTTATTTTTCCAGGCTTAGATTATGACTGATTCCATCCCCAGATTCTATATCCACAATAATCAATTATTGTATCATAGATTCAGACCCAGTAAACTTAAGGCAGAGGATGACTGGGCTAACGTGAATCAGTTCTCACATCTTTAAGAACCCTGATTCTAATGTTAGCCCATGTCCCGATGTCTCGTTATGGCATCAACAAGACATACCATGCTCTTCTCCAGGGCAACTTTTGGTCAGGCATGGCACGAGATGTAAAGAATTTTGTTAATAATACTTGCCATACATGTCAAATGGCAGGTAAAACTAATGCACCTATTCCTAAGGCACCAATGGTTCCTATTCCTGTGCCTTCAGAACCCTTCTCAAAGCTCATCATCGACTGCGTTGGGCCTCTACCTAGAACTAGATCCGGTAACATATACATCATCACAATTATGTGTTCAACCACCAGGTTCCCTATAGCAATTCCCATCAAGAACATCACAGCTGCTACAGTTGTCAAGCACCTACTGAAGATCTTCACTCAGTATTGATTTCCAAAGAAGATTCCAAGCGACTGTGGTACAAATTTCCCCAGTAAGTCATTTAAGAAAACTCTTCAGGAGTTCAACATCACCCAAGTCTTGTGTAGCACATATCATCCTGCTTCACAGAGACCTCTAGAACGTAGCCATCAAACCATTAGGTCACTACTAAGGAAATTTTGTATTAGTACAGAGAAAGATTGGGATAAGCAATTATACCTTCTCATGCTCATTTTCAGAAGACTTCCTAATGAGTCCCTTTGAGTATCTCCTCATGAGATGCTCTATGGTCGGAAGTGCCGTAGTCCCCTCAAAACCTATAAGGATTCTTTGCCGTCAAACACCTTCAGTGATACTCTTAATGTATCTCAGTTTCTTAAAAACTTGAGACACACCCTTGAACAAGTGCATAAGTTTGTCAGTGCTAATTTAGTGAATTCCCAACGTATGATGAAAGGACACTTTGATAAGCATACTAAAGTCAGAAAATTAAATGTAGGAGACTTTGTCCAGGCATATTTTCCTATCCCAAACTCTCATTTCCAGAGTAAATTTTCAGGTTCATACGACATTAAAGAATGCAAAACCAACAATAACTACATTATAGAGACTCTGATCGGCGGAGTAAGACACAACTCTGGCACGTCAACCTCCTCAAAGCATATTAGGTAATCCACCACCTGTATTTTTGTCTCTATCCGCTTTTGCATATAGTTATTCCAACAGTAACACATACCCTGCTATCTCTGTACCTGAATGCAATAACTCTCAGTCAGCGATCTCCAAAGGTGAAATATTAAAAGATCTCCCCAAGTACCTTCAACTTTCTTGTAATAATGCTCCGATGATCAAACTAATCCCTACCCATAAAGACCTATTTCTAAACACTCCTCAGGAATGTACTCTAGTGCAACACAACATCCAGCTGCTGATACGATGCCCATCAGTCAGCCTTACTACCTAATCAGTTCGCAGAAATGGGAAGCCATGTTCGCCGAAGTACAGTACCTCCGCAGCAATGGACTGGCTACACCTTGTGAGTCTCCTTGGGCTTCACCGTGTATGCTGTTGCCCAAACCACACGGAAAGGAACGACAGTGCACCGATTACCACAAGGTAAATTCTGTCACAGTTAAGGATTCTTACCCCTTGCCTTGCATCGACGACACCTTAGATGCAATCGGTAACGCCTAATTCTTGTCTCAAGTAGATTCCTTAAAGGGCTATTACCAGATCAGTCTTACAGAGCGTGCTAAAGACATCTCTGCTTTCACAACTCCTTTTGGCCTCTTAGATATAAACGATTGCCGTTGGACTCTGCAATGCCCCATCTACCTTCCATCAATTTCTCAGCATCGTCATCCATATCCTTGACGATACCTACGCCTACCTCGATAACATCGTTGTAGTGTTCTTCCCAATACCTGGGAAGAACACCTACACCAGTTTCAACGTCTGTTCTACAAGCTTCTCCAGGCCGGCCTCACCATTAATTTGGGCAAGTCCACCTTTGCCAAAGGTAGAGTGCACTATCTTGTTCATGTAATAAGCAGTAGGTGCATAGCACCTCGTAACGTTCATCTTCAAGCCATCCAACAATATCCACAACCTACTTCACGTAAACAACTTATGCGGTTTTTAGGCCTGGCTTCCTATTACCGTCGTTTTTGCAAGAATTTTAGTACCGTTGCCACACCTCTATTCAACCTTACCAGCCCTAACAAAATGTACGTTTGGACCTCATACCAATCCATTGCCTTCGAACAACTAAAAACTTTACTTTGTTCTAATCCTATTCTCGCCTTGCCAGGTGTGAAATGACCCTTCATCTTTAATGTCGATGCCATAGCACTGGCATTGGGGGTGTCCTGATGCAACAGTGAGAAGGAGTCGTCTTACCAGTCAGCTATTCCAGCTACAAAATGAAACTTCACTAGCTGAATTATAGCACTATAGAAAAGAGGCTTCTCACCATTGTACTGTGCTTACAGCAAAATGAACCTAATCTTCAAGGATACCAACCCATCATGATCAACTCAGACCATCATCCTCTTCAGTTCCTGCAACAAGCTCACTTCTCCAACCAATGCTTACTCTGTTGGCCCTGTACCTGCAGAACTACAATCTCAAGATTTACTATATCAAAGGTTTGGACAATATAGTTGGAGATGCATTATCTGGTGACCATGAAGTGGAACCTTTCACTTCAACCATCCTACAAGCATCAACATCTCAGGCAATGGAAAGAGGCTTCGGGGAGGAGCTGTCACGTAATTCCTCTGCATAGCCGTCGAAAGCAACCTCTTCCTACCACCTTCACTGCCTTCATTCTGCAATCCATCTCTATGACACCATAAAACCAGACAATCGCCGAGACATCTGCCTGAATACCCTCCATCCGGTCACACCCCAGAAGCCCCGTGACCCTCAGTCAAGTGCAGCTCGCTGGTGAGCTGTTACGGCCCCTAACTACTTGTTAGTTTGCTGGTTCCTCGTCAACCATCGAATTACCATCAGACGTGACGTGACCAGCAGCCGTATATATAGTCCTGCTGTTGCCTACAAAAGTCAGTCTCTCTTCTGGTGCTCCTGGGAAATTTTTCACTGCTTCCTTCACTCGCCGCCAGCTTCCTGCTTCGTTGAGTGATGGTAGTCTTGGTGGATATGTGAAAATACTGTACCATTATTTTTGTACACCAACTAAACCATTATTAGTGTAAGTAATGTAACGTTGATCATATTTTTTTCTTGTATTTTTATGTGCAACTAGCTGTACCCGTCCACGTGTTGCTGTGGCTCAGCAATGCATGTACATTTCTGAGCCACAGCAACCTTCCCCTGCCTCCCAGTCTTCCCCACCATTCCCCCTTCCCCCTCGTCCTCCTAACCATTCTCCACTCCACCATCCCCTCGTCCTCCCCACTATCTCCCACTCCCCTGTCCTCTCGTCCTCCCTACCATACCCACTCTCCCCTGTTCTCTCGTCCTCCCCACCATCTCCCACACCCTTGTTCCGTTGTCCTCCCAACCATTTTCCATTCCTCTATCTCCCTCGTCCCCACTATCCCCAACTCTCCCATCCCCTCGTCCTCCCCACCATTACCCCCTCCCCTGTCCCCCCCCGTTCCTCCCCACCATTCCCCACTCCTGTCCCTTCATCCTCCCCACCATTCGCCACTCCCTCATCTGATGCATTCCCAAATGATCTGACATTCCCATCAGAAAATTGGGACCATCTAATGATCTGATGTTCCCATAACTGAAATATAAGAAAAACAGTTAAAAAACGAAATGAAAAGCAATGAAAAAATATAAAAATAAACTGAACTCATGAAATGAACAATATGGTAAACAACACGGCTCAATTTCAATGCAATGTCACACAAAATAATTAAATCAAAATGAAAATATATAGAAATTATCAAAATTCAATTGACCAATGAAATCGGAAACATTGAAATGGAATCGTAACATATTTAGTATAGTGTGTGTTGCTGTTACATGCAACAGATGGTACTGTTATTAAAAAAAAAGCATGTTTATACCTTGTGACAGGTGTGTGGCATCTATACTTATACTCACACAATAAACGGTATGGTAAACAACACAGTTCAATTCCAACCCAATGTCACACAAAATAAATAAATTTAAATAAAAATAAATCGAAATCTATGAAAATTCAATTTGTCAATGCAAATGGAAACATTTAAATGGAATTATAACATATTTAGTATAACGTGTGTTGCTCTTACGTGTAACAGATGGCGCTGTTTCTTAAAAAAAAAAAAAAAGTTTTTACCTGTCACATGTGTGGCATCTGTACTTATACCTACGAAATGAATGGTATGATAAACAACACAGCTCAATTCTAATGCAATGTCACACAAAATGATTAAATCAATATGAAAATAAACCAAAATCTATGAAAATTCAATTTATCAATGCAATCGGGAACAATGAAATGGAATC